CTTTGTGGTTCACATGGCTGCCAAAATTTCCCTCTTACCCTCTCTTCCTTATTCCTGCAACTTTAAACCTCCTACGGCATTTCATCTTTTCAGTCATTTCAGAGATTTTTTTTTTTTTTCCAATCTGCTTCAAAGATGCTGTTACAGCTTTTCAGGTATTGGTGCTTTTCAAGTCCTTCATGAGTTGGCACATAAATCTGGTTAAAAAAATTCTAGGTTTAAATTGTAAATTATTATATAATTTAATATCTTAAAGTATTCTCTTTATAGACTACAAAATATTACCTTTATTGGTGAGGAGATGAATCTTCCACTCTTGTCAGCATTTAGGGCTCTTTTCTATAAATTCCTTAGTGCTCTGACTATGTCATAACTGTCTGATGGCTAATTCTGCAAAAAGGGAGGGTTTTTACTTTCTTTGTATGAAGAAGCCAAATGGAGCCAGTTTCCTTTACACTAAAATGTGCAAAATTATTCTGGTTTGTTTTCATTTTATGAAAAGCATATGAAAACTATGAAAAGTACTTGGCAAGTTAATAATAACTTTGGGCTCTTTTTTTGTAGAGCAGAGCTCCAAAGAGTAGCACTGGTATAAACTCTCCTCCTCTTTTCTTTGTAATACTTCACCAAGGTGCTTTCTGGGGTAAGGTGTGGCCATTTCTTTGCATACTGGTTCTTCTAGATTTTAGTTGGGTTTTGTGTGTTTTCAGGAATATGTTTTTATTACCTAATACTGCTGGTTGGAGAAATTTGTCATCTGTCTTTTGTGAGATGTAGTTTTAATTTAGTTTTAATGTTCCAACTTCTATAGTCCTCCTTGTTCACTTTACAAACCTTAATTGCTTCCTCTATATAAGTCTGCCTTGAACAACCACGGCAGGAGAACGAGGCTTACCAGCTTCATGCCCTGTTTCTATCACCAGCATTTTTTGCTGTCCCAGCCCAAAAGTGTAACTGAGACATTCCTTTGGGAAAAGGTTAGCTTGGATCCCTGCAGTCCCAGCAGTTCCTCTTATGTGAGAATCATGCATGTGTTAGACAAGATGGTCTATAAGCAAGTCTACTAGTATTCTTCTCGATTGCATCTCAAATCAGGAATGACGACTGTTCAGCTGATGTCAGAATCCCTTATTTAAGTTCCTGGATTTAAAGGTGGCAAAAATGTCTGCCAAGAAAGGTAACTGCCAACAAAAAAAGAAGATTGCCCCTCTTGGGAGATGGTGGTAAGAAAGCGGGCTGCTTTATTTTCTGATGTTTTCCTTTAGCATTTGTGATTTGGAAGATTTGTGTTTCTAATACATCAGGAATTGAAACCAGTCACCAGAAACTGAGATTGAAATGCCATCCCTTAGTGGAAGACTTAACAGTTGTTCAGTGTTCCCATTGTAAGGAATGGTTTCAAAATGCAAAGCCTGAGGGTTAAACCAAGCTCCTTTACCTCTTTTTACACATGCTCCAAGCATCTAAATCACTCAGCAAGAATGCCATTTTTCAAGTGTCTTATTTTCTTTCCACAGAATTTCAAAAGGCCTGTGGGAAGTGCCATCTATGAAGTATAATTGATATGGACACTCTTCTGAGACTATTTTTGTTGTTATGTTTCAAGATAAAGGCAATTGAGTATTTATAGGAAAAATAAATACATATGCCTTTTGCAATGTGTTGTAACTGAAAATTAAATATTTTTCTACTCAAATTTTGGCATATTTCCTGGAATCACTGAGCTTTCAGTAACGTTTTTAGTTAATATTCTGCAACCTACTGTTGTATTCACTGCAGCTGACATGAGCTCAGAGAGTTTGTCTTTATTTAACCTCAGAGAGGAATCCCAGGCTTGCTCTGTAGTTGGCAGAGCTGTTGGGAAGGATCTGCTGTGGACTGCAGTGGAGAGAGTAAGGAGAGGGTCTGAACTGTGCCTGCTACAGCTTTACTCCATTGGTGATATGAAAATCCTGAAGAATATGTGAAGTTAGCCTTTATTAATAAAGCCTCTGATTAATATTTGCTTTCATTATCCATCGCTTTCCTTCTTTGTCTAATATTTTTATGAATCCTGTTACTTAGATCCTGCATCCCACTGCTCCTTGTGATGTTTGAAGTTGAAGGCACTGATTAGACCATTAATTTTTTACCTGTAGAATATGTATATATATATATATATATCTGTGTACAGGGGGTTAAAAAATATAAAAAGCCCCCATGAGAATAAACATTCTGCATCACCTTTGCTCTCCAGAGACTTAAAATTGCAGTGGTGTGGTGATGATAGGAAGATGCTTCAGCTAAAAGTCAAAGCTTTTAAAGACTGATTGTCTGCTCCATTACACATTTTTTACACTGACCCACAGAGCTGCTTTGTCTCTTGTCAGCTAGTAACAAGTAAGAATGTAAATGGCCTGTGGCATTAGGACTGAAACAGACAGTAACAAACCATTCAGTTTGACTGGTGATCTTAATAGTTACTTGTTTAGAATAATTTCATGGATGAGGCCCAGCTAACTTAGTTCAAAGACAGTAATTACCCCTAGAAGTTAATATTTGCTATGTCAGCAGTTATTAGAAGTATTGGTGGTACCCTTACTGTTAGCAATATTTATGCCAGCAAATAAATGCTTGTCCTTGTTTGTTGGTAAACATTGGCACTGAAATTGAATTAAATATTATTTGATTGATTTCTGTGGATTCAAGTCTAGAACTACACAATATTTGTTTTTCCCCAAATTAACGAATGAGGTTAAGGTCAGCTTGATGAAGTAGATACTCCAGATTTATTATTTGAGTGTGTGCAAATTCTAGAAAACATGTAGCTTACCAAACTGAGCCTGGTTTCAGTTTCAGATTTTACTAATAGTGAAAGGAAATTTCTATTGTTAAAAAAATCTGAAGGCCTCCCCTCATGCTGCCTTCTCTGAAAATGAAGAAATGGGATGCTGGTCTAAGATGGCAAGAATAATCAGCCTGAGTCACTGTGCAGATCCGTAGAGGTTGATTTTCAGCCAGTATCTGCAAAATAAGCTGCAGGGTTCAGTTTGCAAACACTGTTGTGAACCAAACCCTGCGGGGCTCAGTTTGCAAACACTATTGTGAACCAGACCCTGCAGGGTGTGCTGAGCTCCAGTTACTGCTCCTAGTAAGGCTTATTATCCTGTCATAGAAGATGTAAGAAAATCCATCTCTCCCTTTTAAACATGATAAACCTTTGTCACCTACAATGCAATTAATGTTAAAAATAGAAGAGTGCTGATGATAAGATTGTGACTTGTAGGCAATGAGCCATTGTCCAAGTACAGGAGATTTATCTGGCGGGCCAGTCAGCCTACACGCTTTGCTGTCAGTTTGCTGATTGCCATTTCTCTCTGGGTTTGATGAAATATTCATGTCTTTGCTCTGCTCTCTGCAAGCACTATTGATTTCTTGTATAAACGCGGCTATATTTAGTCTAGACAAATGGAATGTGGATTGCTGCTGAATAAATGGGATGAAAGGCCGGGGGTTTGCCTGTCCGTTTCTCTTGGTTGGTGGCAATTATTTATAATCAAGAGTAGTTTTTTGTAAGTTAAAGGTGATTTTTTATAATTTAGTGATTAGTCTCAGAACAAAAGTAAGCACTTAGACACAATCATTCTGTTGGGATAGCAGGTTAAGAAGCTGAATTATGCTCTGAGGTTTACAATCACAGTTATTAAGATTTAAAAAAAAAAAAAAAAAAAAAGGGCCCGGAAAAGTGTATGTTTTCAGAAAAAGTGTGATCAGTAGAAAAGATTTGGTGCCTTTTGTCTTATTTTTATAAAATCTTTTACTAACATATTTTATTAGATACTACCGATCATACAGTTAGAATTCAGTCCTCTCCATTTGCTGCAGTTTCAACTTTTACTGCTTCAGTTTTGCTGTCTCTGCTTACTAGAATATTTCTGTTTCATTTTGGTTTTTTCCTTGGAAACAAATACAGCTGCAGCAGAGAAGAAGGAGAAAATATGCTTAAAATCTCATTCCCCAGTCATTTCCGACAGCATGTTTGTTTTCAGTTAATAATCTTATTTTCCAATGAAGATAGTGGAGGAATGGGAACTGGAGTGGATGTGTTTGTGTTTCACTGTCCTCTTGTGGATGGAATCAGAACTGCTGGGCTTTAGCAGAGACCTTCAGTTACTATTTATTTTCCTCTTGTAGATATGGTGCTTGTTAGTCTTTTGTTCTTTTGAGACAGATAAAGTTACACTCACTCTCTTTACTTGACGTGAAAACCAGAGCTTTACAAGTATTATAGTAAAAATTATCAAAACGCTCTGTTCTGCCTCCTTTTAGTCCCTTTGATTTAAGAGATGGAAAATACAGAAAATAAATCCTCCATTAAGTACTTAATTGCTGGATTAAGAATTTGTAGCATTGCTACAACAAATTGAAATAATTCATTTTCTTAGAAGCCATATATAGTGTGCTATGCACGGTGGTTACTTTTCCAAAAGCTGTATTAAAAGTTCTCATTTTGTGTGTCAAATTATTTCCCCATGTTATATGTTATTCCTCTGTTTATGGCAGGTATATTTATATGCAGTAGCCATGTAGCACTGAGTGGGTTTTCATGTGTAACGCTGTCCTCAGAAAATCTACACCCTAGCTTTGAAAAATCTCTTGCAGTGCAATGGAACTGCAGGGCCTTAATCTAACGCTGATGAAGTGCCCGGAGTGTTTATTGTGTAGCATCAATAGTGCCTAGGAGATTTTCACTAAATATTGCTCCATTGGGCTATGACATGGTTTAAGAACTGGGTTGTGTGTTAACCTGTTTAGCAGAATATTAATCTGGGAGTATTTCTGCAGAGTGTGGAAAGGAGGTGCTGAAGTTTGCATACAGCTTAGATTGCATTAAATGTCTTGAAAGGTCTGTACATTGAAACAGTCTTTGAGTGAAGCAGGTCTTTTTCCCATAGGAATGCTCTCTGTTCTCCTTCTCTGATTATATTTAATGTGTATGTTTTGCTGTTTTCTTCCCACAGTGGATGTGAAGTCAGAGGTTCCCGTGGGCCTGGAGCCTATCTCACCGTTAGACCTGCGGACGGATCTCAGGATGATGGTTCCCATGGTGGACCCGATTATGCGTGAAAAGCAGCTACAGCAGGAGCTGCTCCTGATCCAGCAGCAGCAGCAAATACAAAAACAACTGCTCATTGCAGAGTTCCAGAAGCAGCATGAAAACCTGACCCGCCAGCATCAGGCCCAGCTCCAGGAGCACATTAAGGTAGCAACATTTTTCATTTATCCCTTACTTTATCTGCAAAATGAATATGCTTAAGCAGACACGGAAAAGGGAACATGCCTGAAAGGTTTGCCGTGACTGAGAGATGGTTTTTGAGTGCTCTTTTCTCTGTATTTGGATGATAAAGACCTTTCAAAGCAAAACTGCTGGCACCTGTGAGTGACTTGCTCACAGCAGACCAAGGCAGTACTATGAGAATCATCAAGCTCATGAAGCCACCACATCCACAAAAAATCGAACTACCTATTTTGCAACCTGCATTTTCAGCTGAACTTCAATATGGCTTTTTTTTTTTTTTTTGTATATACTGTTTTTAGTATATTAAAAGACTGCTTTTTTGAGCTACTGGTTGACTTTGTAACGACAAATCAAATTGATAGGCAAGTGCACAATATTTGCATTTGTAAAACGGAGGCAGGCCCTGATAATGTTGTGTTTTCACTCTTCTCTGAGCTGCCTCATATAGTTCAAAAAGAAAATTATTTATGGGCTTGCATGCACTATGGCAGGATTGCTATAATGGATTTTGACTGGGAATTTATGATCTTGCCTTTCATTTCATTTTTCCTTCTTATCTACTTGCCATTGTGCTGCTGTGCTAAGCTTCCACTTGACGGAGCTGACAAATGCATCAGAGCACTGCAACCAGATTTGGGTGATGCACAGGCAAGGAACAATGTGAAGTTTCCAGGCATCTTTGCCAAAAGAGAAAGAAGTGAAACCAGAGCAGCAGGCTGCTACCTGACACTAGATTTCAATTTGGTGACAGCCAGTAATGCACTGTGCTGCTTAAAAGTCAGTTAAGAGATGAAAAGAAGTGTAAGCATAAAAGCAAGCGCTGATCCTCGGTAACTCAAGGGAATTGTTTTAACCAGGACTGACCTAGAAAACACTACAAACTGCACTTTCTCATGTCTTTTTGTTCTGTGCAAGTTACAACAGGAACTCCTAGCCATTAAACAACAACAAGAACTCCTTGAAAAAGAGCAGAAACTGGAGCAGCAAAGACAGGAGCAGGAACTGGAGAGGCATCGCAGGGAGCAACAGCTTCCTCCCCTCCGAGGCAAAGAAAGAGGACGAGAAAGTAAGAGCCAATGTACCATGAATCCTAATAAGAAACGAGTCTATTCCCCTTTGCATTCTCCCAGCCAAAATGAACTATGAACAGGAACCTGAAGGAAGCCTGTTCTTGTGTGAAATACGCAGGTCGAGAAGTCAAGACTGTGCTTTGAGAAGGGCAGGGCCACCCACTGCACCCACAGAAACACATTTCTGGTTTGTGTGCAGACTTGGAAAACTGCAGGAAAGCACAGTTTGACAGACTTGTATATATGCATCTCAAGAGTCAAGCTCTTTGTATAAAAAAAATGAGGAAATTTGAAAGCGTAAAGCTTCACATGAGAACTTTATGAAGAGCTTATTTCTCAATACAGAAAGCACTATGAAACAGCAGAAAATTAAATTAGTTGCTGAGCATTGTTTCAAGACTGAAAATAAAATTAAGTATTTAAGAATATCTTAGGATGAGCCTTCTAAATATTTTGCTAGGACTTTTTCAAACTGTCTTGTGTTTGTTCTTGATGACATTTCATGAGGCAAAACCAAGAGTTATTTCTAGCTCATATATAGCTATAAAGAAAACAACTATGAAGGTTTGTTAAGATTTGATGCTCACTAGAGGGAGACAGATACAAATAATTCTCTTTTGTGGGGTCATTTTGAAAATCAGGTTGAAGTACAGTGTGAAGATATTCAAAATGAAGCTGCCACAAACAGATACTGTTGCTTGCTCTACCAAATGAGCGCAAGTATTAACTGACTGAAGCAGAAAAGAACCTTTTTTTTCCCTGGGTGGAAAAAGATACCACTTCAACAGCTGTAGGTGTACCATGTCACAGCCTTTAGAAATTAAGGTGTCCATGGTGCTTCTAGTACTTTGAAGAACAATGATCCCATAAAGAAATTTCCATCTTACTGACCTAGAAATGTGAGGGTGTGGAAGCTGCAGGAACAAAAGGTTCTTCTATGTAGTATAAAAAAAATCAGTCTCCGTATGAACAGTTGGGCTTTATCGGTGTTCCTGCCAGAAGAAGAGCAGAGATGTGACCTCAATGGTTCCCTTCTCAATTTGAGCTTGCTGGGTGGCTGTTCAGGATGTAACAGCCAGCCAAGCAGCTTGTGACCCCTCCAGGCCCAGTTTGTTGGTAGTGATGATCTATTTAATGAGGAGAGCATGGAAGGGAGGTATGGGCAGTGGATCACATGGGACGTGCTCAGCATCTCAGCTGTGGTGTGTCAGGGTTGGGTAACCAAATAGAGTATCAGAAATGCCTTAGTGCTGCAACTTTGAAAGAAATGGGGTTTAATCCCTTTTTTTTATCACTGATTATGGGAAAGCAAAAGATTTTTTGTTTTCATACTTCTTTTTTCCTTAATGAACACTGTTTTGGCTATGAGTAAAAAAGCATGTCCCATGCTGCAAGCTTGAATTGGCAGTTTAACCTTACAATGACATGCTCTACTTTTTGCTCTGTGTTGAGCTAGCCACCAAGAGAGGTCAAAATGCACTCTCTTGTCTGCCAGACGACGCAGGTAGAGGCCCTTAAGGGGCTCCAATTAAAAGCCTCACTGCTGGCTCTTTCTGCAGTGCTCTGCTTATAACCAAGACAGTGTTCAGAGGATACTTTTGCTGTGTTACTGCTATTACTTTATTAAAAGAAAAAAACACTCATTACTAAAAATTCAAACTGACCTTTTGTAACTGTCTTTTTAGTTCCATTGTTGGTTTTGTATTTGGATTGTTGGGAACTATCAGGAAATAATTTAAATTCTTTAGATACATCTGGCCCTGGATAAATGGCCTCATCTACTGTTGAAATATTCCTTATGACTTCACTGGATTTTTGGGTCACAGCCAGCTTCAGGCTTCCACAGAGAAGCATTTAATCCAAATGCTATCTCATTTTGACTTTTTTCCACCAATAGTTTTTATATAGTTTACAAAACTTCCAGCAATAAGGCACAGACTCTGTTTTGGAGTTTGTTTTATTTAAAACGGTAATTTTTTTTTTAAAGTACAGCTAAGATGCATTTAACTCTTGTATTTCTTAGGGGCAGTGGCCAGCACAGAAGTGAAGCAGAAACTTCAAGAGTTCCTGTTAAGTAAATCAGCTACAAAAGACTCTCCAGCAAATGGGAAGAATCATTCCATGAGCCGCCACCCCAAGCTCTGGTACACGTATGTTCAGTATTAAGCTGCTTCCTTGTCTCGTGAGGTATCAGCTGAAACTTGGCAGAATGCTTTTTCAGCAGGGAAGTTGAGAGTCTGCCTCCAGAGCAAGGCAGAAGTTCAACCCAAAGATAAGTGAAAAGCCAGAAGTGTTGTATTTCTGGTTGAACTGAGGAGTATTCAGTGTTCAGTGGTGAGATGAGAACTATACAGAACAAGACTCCCTCAAAAATCTGTATAATTGCTTTTATTTCAGCTGCTTCATCTATAGTGATTATAGCTGTTGCTATCACAAGTTTTACAACTATACCTGTCATTTTTCCAAGTATCTTAAATTTTTGCAGTTAGAACACCTGTGTTTGTCTTGGATTTTGAATCAATCACAAAATGTTTCCTCTTGAAGAGATGCTGCTTTGCTTCCAGTGAAGTTGCTTGAATGGTGCTGGTAATTCACAAGGGTTTTGAGAAAGACAGTGGTCATCTAACTTTTCTGACTCATGGCTTTTAGTATCCAAATTGCATATTCTTATGATAACTTGGCCTTGACAAGAATCTGCTTAGATCATGGAACCACTTGATTTTGTTGAATCTTTCAAGCAGTTTATTGACATGTTAAGAGTTTACAGTTTTGTAGTTTTTATTCCCCACATAAATGAATCCAACAAAATGAATTCTATCTGCGCTTCTGAAAGATTTCAATGTCATGCCTGCATTGACCTTCAACAGGACAAACAGAAATACATATGGTAAACTAGATTTCCATCTTTTACTTGTTCTTTTTAAAAAGGATTGCTGAAGGTTGGCCCTTGGAGTTTGCATTCTGAGCTAACCAGAGCTTTTTGGTAAAATTATTTAATATATAGTTACATTGTGTTTGGTGGAGATACAGTAATAAATTCATTTTTTTCTTCCAAATAATGTGTAAAAAGTCTCTTGAATATGTAAGATTTCTGAACTAATAATCTGAGCTTCAGATGACGGAGTATGAGGAGCTCTACAGAGGATGCCTTCTACTACACTACAGAAAGTAGAACTTCCTCTCATGACAGAGACCTATTATTGATTAACCACACTGTGTTGGAAAGACAAGCAGAGTCTGGAAAAGGCCAAGTAAAATTATGTTTAGATAAACACAAAGTTTGAAAGTTTTTCTCCTTTCCGTCTCTAGTTAGAAATATCAAGCAAACTCCCCCCACTCAAAAAAAAGCCAGAAAAACAACCCCTGTTTCTGAGCCAAGTGATGCAATTTCTATGTGGTTGTTCAGAAAGCTCTGCACACAGTATTTCTTTCATCCAGCAGCTGTCAGAAAACACTCTTCCAGCTTGGAGCTTCTCTGCTGACATGAGTGCTATGTGCTGCAGGGTGGTATGCTCACAAAATTTACAAATTGAACTTAAAGTCAAGGTTTCATTTACCTCATCCACTAAATAATTCAGTGGAGTGGGGTATCCAAGAGATAAAAATTCAATATTTCTGGTTATTTTATACAAGCCCTTGTGCCCTGAAAATCCCCCACATTTTAATAGGGAAGGCTTGATCGATATACGTCTATTTGTGCGTGATAAACAAGCCTTAAACAGCTTTTGCTGTGTGTCAGCTGATTCATATTAAAAAGCAACCACCTGAAATGGTCAGTTCCCATAGCTGGTGGTAGACCCTGCCTGTAGATCAACATGAATCTTATCCTATGAGACTTCTGTAATGAGTGCAAAAAATGTGTTTTTGGGAATCCCAAGGAGTTCCATAACTTACTGTAAGAGTGAAATTGGTTACATGAGCCTGTGGTTTGCGCACACTTGGACGAACAAGAACATAAACACAGCTGAGACATGTACAACATGTGTGGATAGTTACTGCTGGTCACCTCAGTGACAGCTAATTTGTGACCTCTGTGTCTGCTGCAGGGCTGCCCACCATACCTCACTGGATCAAAGCTCTCCACCCCTGAGTGGGGCCTCGCCACCATACAAATACACTTTACCAGGAGCACAGGATGCTAAGGATGATTTTCCACTTCGTAAAACGGGTGAGTTAGCGTCATTTATTCGAGCGCCTTGCCCAGCAATCCTCCCACCCTTTATTTTGACCAGGCTGTCCACTAGCAAGGCATGTATTATACTCCAAAAATCCTGTTCAAGGTGATACTATGAGTAAGTTCAAAGGTCTAGACTGCATATTTCCAAGGTCAGCCTGGCCACATGGTACTGAGAGTCGGTGTTTCTCAGTGCTGACAGCTGGTGTAGGCTTCAGTTCTGATAAATTTTGTTTCTAAACAGATCATCATTTCATGGATCTTTATTTTCTCTGCCTTTCTTCTGGTTTTAATAACTCTCTCTGCCCTGCTTGGTAGATACAGTATCTGTCTTCAGATGGTATTCTGCTTTTAGACAATGTTTTTCAGGGCATTTTGAGAGGAAATCATGGAAGGAGGAGGAATTGGATGAATATTATATTTTGTGTCATTGATTGTCAGAGTTTGTGTGTCTATCACAGACTCGCAGAATATTCTGAGGTGGAAGAGACCCAGAAGGATTGTGGAGTCCAACACTTAAGTGAATGGCCCATACAGGGATGGAACCCGTGACCTTGGTGTTACCAGCACTGTGCTGTGTCCCTATACACACATCTGCATGTCTTCTGACACATAGAAAATGTTCTTTTGATGGTTTTAGAATATTTTGGAAGATCTAACAATTGAATATTTTATCTTGACAGCAGGTGAACTGTAGACTTAGCTTTTTCTGCACCACAAAGAAAGCTAGAATGGTGGTGGAGTCCATGTGGCTGTTGCCTCAGGACCTTGGTGCAGTGACTGGTATCCAGGAATGCAGGGAGACACTCAGAGGAGGGGGGGAAAAGGAAAAGAAAACATTAGATCGCTTATTGCATGAGTCTGCTGTTGAGTGATATAGTTACGTTCAGAGAGAAAGTCTGACCCCCTACCGTGCTAACAGCCTTTGAATGTGATTTAGCCACTGGGAGATTGAAAACTAACTGCAAAACTGACTTGAAAAGAATTGGCATTCGGAACCAGCATGTATTCAGAGAGAAAATCCAGCCTGTATCTAATACTTTGGGGCAGACTCTCTAAGCTCATATTATATCCCCAAATACTTTCAAAGGAATGGAAGCATGAAAAGCAGAATGCTAATTTATTCTAGCTGAATTACTTTTTGTACTACATGGTAGCAATATAACAAGATTCTATAAAATCTTGTTCGGGCTGTTCATCACAATAAACCCTTATGTGGTTCTCTGCTTAATACCACAGGATAGCATATATTTTCTATGCCAATAGACTATACATTTTCATTTTGTAGAACAAAATTCTACGTCTTCTAAATGCTGTGAATTCATCTACATGTATTTGAAATGCAAGCTTCAATTTTTCTTCCATGTTTATGTATCTTAAACATTATGATTGATATTTATGATGTGTCAGACTGTTGATCTGTAAAACAAAACATTTTCAAACTTTATAACAGTAAAGTTCTCGTGCAGCTGCTAATACTTTTATATCTCTGTGGGGGTTTCAAAATATTCCTTAATTCAATTCCCATTGTCTGCATAAGAGGACTATAATATAATTAAATCCAGATGTTTTCTATATGCTATTCCAAATATTTGGGCATGCAGTGCATCAGTTCCAAAATTGAACAAAGGACATGATGACTCTCTGAAAAGATATCTACAGAACAAATAGACAAATACTAATATAATCATTAGTACAACCGTTTCTATGACATTGACATAGTGATTCTGATAAGAAAATATAAATGAAGTGTACAGCATGTTGTATGTTACCAACAGGGGATATTTGATATCTCTCCATATCCGTGAAAATAACAACTGTTAATATCCTGTTTACACATCCAGTCTCTCTGTGTACTAGAGATGTTTAATTCCAGTCTTCAGCAACATCCCCACAAAGCTTTCAATGATTGTTCATCAGGTTGAGTGTAAAAGCAACAGGGAACCAAATCGACACAAGTCAAATGACCCTAAACTGATCTGGGTGGCTCTAGGGCCATCCTCCAGGCAGAGGGGACATTGTGGAGCCTGTGACATCCTCACGGGACCTTACTAGACAAAGATGTCCCACGAACACTCACGTATATGGACAGGCTGTAAGCCTGCAGAAATCTGACCTTTGCCATGAGGGGTGAACCTCTTTTCCTTCCCTTTAGGCCATGAACGCTTATTGCCACTGGCTCCTGGTAAACCCTCTGTGGTGCTGAACCTGCGTGAAGTCAGCAATTCATATGAAAGCAGACCTCACATTCCTTTCAGCCTTAAGAAAGAAATACCTGTTGTGACTTTTAATTGCAGCTTTGTTTTGCCTTTTAAGTTACTTTTTTTTTTTTTAAATCTTCATAATATAAGATACAGAGGTATCTTTCTCTTCTCCAACGTTGATAAAATGCTCTCATAAGATAATTCTGATTGAATCAGGTAATCTGAGATCAGATTTAATGGGAAACAAAGCTGAATGATTCTTTCCTGACATCCTAATGTGTTTTTCAGTGCTGGGGGAACATCAAGTGTCACACAGGCATTGTAAATCATAGGTTTTGCTTGCTTACTTACTTTCTTCTTCAGTTATCCATTTAATCTTTGCTTAATTAGTTCTGAAGTGGCATCTCCTTTTTAATCTTCTAAAAATTAATTCCAAAAGAATGGAAAATATTTTCTGCAGCTTTTACTCTTCTAGTATCTAGAACGATGGAATGCTTAAATAACTAGGAAAAGACTTAAAAGTCTTGCACTGTCAGTGTTTACAGTTAGGTACCCGAGTTAACATCCTAGTGCAGTGACTGTGGTTACTCAACAAGTCTCAGCCATGTGGATTGTTCCTTTCTGTACAAGATGCAGCAGAAGTTGTCAGCAGTGGACTTCAGAAAGTTTAGCTGCATGGAGGATTGGGACTGTCCTAAGGGCTAGAGGCCAGGATATGCAACTCTTTGCACAGCTGCATTCAGATGCTTGGTGTTGACAGACTTTGAAAAGAGCAGAGCAAGGGGAGCTATTGCTTCACTGGATAGATAAATACACCATAAGGAGAAGCTACACATCTGTAGCTACAAGCAGAATTTAGTGTAAACAGCATAAGATTAAATTTTAAAAATCCCCAAAACTTGCACCATGGATACGGTGTTTTCTTCAATGCACCCAAAAGCCTGAGCAGCACATGGCTCATTAACTTTCAATGAGACTAATGTGTCTAAATTACTAGAGAGGTTTGAAAATACCTCCCTATTACTGAACACTTTTGAAATTCATACTGACTGTTTCAAGAGCTCTGATGGGAGCCATGTACTTTTGAAAATCTGATCATTTAATATGGGGAACTTTTGCTTGTTGAGCTCTTCTATTCTGTGACTATCTGTCCAGGAAAATATTCTCCTCTTTATGAGGTTACTGTAAAACTAACAAAACCACACTAAACAACATGGGTTTGGCAGGGTAGAAAGTCTTTTCAAATATTTTTTTTCTTTTATTTTTTCAAAATGCAGAAATTCTAGCAAATGGCCCTAACAGTTGCATTTTCTCCACATTTAAAATTTTATTTTTTATATGCAAGTGTTGATACAAACCAGCAAAAGCCAGTAAGTTCCAGCAAGAATTAGCTCTCTGGCCAAAGCTGCATACTTTTTAAAAATGTTGCTGTAGGTGGAATTTCTGCATTTTGTTACATATTTTGGCTTTTTGGGGAAGAAGTTCCTGGGGACATCATCATATCAAATAGGAACTGTTTTTTATCTCCTGAGTTTAGCACAATCATGGAAGAATGGGAATGTCAATCAGTATTTCTATTTATTTTGGTTTTGTGCCAGTTGAATCTTTCTTTGCAGATGGAGTTGTATGCTTAAGACTTGCATTGTGCTTAGGGATCTGAAGATCTCTCACAATATAACAATTTGAGAAGATGTTTGTAGCTTACCTTCCAAAAATTGGAAGCATACTCAATGGAAACATAGCATGGGGCTTTTTTTAATAGCAAATAGTATTTGCTAATAAAAATAGCAAACTTCCTTGGATGGGAGAAGTTGTGTAATTTCACACAGGAAAAAAGAGGAGATGAAGGATTGTTTAATATTGTGATGAAAGAGAGGAAGAAGGCTGTCTCACACAGCCATGAAGATCACTCTGTAAAAACCATATTAAGTTAACCTGATTAGGCAATAGAATAACAGTGTAGGCCTTGTGTAAATGAGAATGAAAGATTCCTGAATGAGAACTCAGCAGATGTAATTTTTTAAGAAAAGAAAATTAATTAGAATATTTCCTTACAATTCTTTGTGCACTTAGTGACTCAGTAATTTACTGGAGCAGTTAAAAATCAGAAGAAAAATATCAGTGTGTGAAGGTTTTTCTCCTTTCCCCTCCTGTGCCACCAAATTTTATTTCTGTTTGCATTTTCTAGGAAAACAATCTTTTGTGATGTAACTGTATATGAAAAAGCTGGATTTCCTTTGGTTTTCATTTAAAAAAAAAGGCTTAGAGTACCTCAAACCCTCAATTACCATGTCTGCCAAAATGAAGAAGTCCAGCTCAGTGGAGAGAAGTGCTATTTTTCTCTGAATTTATGAGCAAGCACAATAAATGGGAGAGGCACTTTGTTTATTGAAGCAAGGAAAGGAGGCAAACATATGATTCTCCTAATTTTATCCCATTTTCCAGGGATGCTAAGCATTCCTGCCTCTCCAGAGTCCTTGTTTTCCTGGGTTGGTGAGCCATCTCAACAAATTTGGACTAGGTAATGTGCCCAGAAGAAGTCAGTACTTATCACAGAGAGAAGGAGAAGGTACCCTGACCTTGACTCTTCTTCCTGTTAATCACCAAGCGTTTTCAGCCTTCCCAAATTCAGTATCAATAACTTCAGAGCATGTAATTAGCAGTAGGAGGTTTTAGAAAGAGAAAAGCTTCCACTTGCAATTGCAGAGTTGTGGAGTGGAGTCAAAGCTTCTGGATTCACGTGATGAACAAGCCAAAGCAGTGTCCAGGCCCTGGGAGCCAGCAGCTCTA